GTGGGGCAGCTACAACGTACAAGGCGCCGCACAGCTCAGTCTCGACTCCAGGCAGGAAGCAGCAGGCACCCTTTTAACAAGGTGGCTGCTCCGTCAGCAGCCAGCTGCAACAGCAGACCTGGGCCCCGATTACAGGGCAGCCACGCTGTGCAATCATGGCTAGCCAGTGAAGAAACATCAAATCAAAGGGGAGGCGACAGGGAGGGCGACTTCCTGCTTACAGGGCAGTCCTCCTTTCACCTGACAGCTCTGCAAGAGCAACAGCCTCCAGAGCCAGGACCTGCTTCCTGCTTACAGGGTGGTCCCGCTGCTACAAGGGTCCCTCAGCCACATTTTGGCCCTTACGAGACCGAGACCTAAGGGCAGGGTAGTCACTGTGTCCAGAGTCCCTTTCCTTCGCACCCTTTTCCCTGGTTGGCTTTCCTCCTGCCTCATCCCTTCACCGCCGGGGCTTCCGAGGACTGTGAGAACAAAGGCCGGCACCAGTTGCAAGTCAAGGCAGCCTGAGCACACACCGAGCGGCTGCAACTTCTCCCTTTTCAGCCCTGACGTGAAGGGTTTCCAATGCGCTCAGGGTCCTCTAGAAGCCTGCGGCCCTCCCTATACTCCCTAGGTAACACCTCTGCCAAAACCCCATCAACTAGCCTAGGATTTGGAGAAAGCAAAGCAGGAGACCTGTGCCTTGCTTATAATCTGGGAGACCCAGAGTATCCTGGCACTCGAAGACTTCCACGACTCACATACCCCTAGTCTTTACCCAAACTCTCTTACCTTTGCCTCCTGCTTGTCTGGCATGGTTTTCTTCCCTGGTTATCAGTTCTCTCCTATTTGTCATCTTCTCTTTCGTGGGGCAGAAAGCACAAGACAATAATAGGATGCAAGTCAGAGCCATGGAAAATGGGTGTGAAAGCCTCTACTACTCTCCCCCAAATAAGTTGGCGACCTTTGACCTAATTACTGGGGGGATTTGACCTATAGTGACCCCAAGTTGAACTCTCTGTGACCCCTGGCTTCCCCCAAAAAATCAGTTGGTGACCTTTGACCTAATTACTGGGGGGATTTGACCTGTAGTGACCCCAAGTTGAACTCTCTGTGACCCCCGGATTGCCCCAAAAATGTTGATGAACTTTGACCTAATTACTGGGGGGATTTGACCTGTAGTGACCCCAAGTTGAACTCTCTGTGACCCCCGGATTGCCCCAAAAATGTTGATGAACTTTGACCTAATTACTGGGGGGATTTGACCTGTAGTGACCCCAAGTTGAACTCTCTGTGACCCCCGGATTGCCCCAAAAATGTTGATGAACTTTGACCTAATTACTGGGGGGATTTGACCTGTAGTGACCCCAAGTTGAACTCTCTGTGACCCCCGGATTGCCCCAAAAATGTTGATGAACTTTGACCTAATTACTGGGGGGATTTGACCTGTAGTGACCCCAAGTTGAACTCTCTGTGACCCCCGGATTGCCCCAAAAATGTTGATGAACTTTGACCTAATTACTGGGGGGATTTGACCTGTAGTGACCCCAAGTTGAACTCTCTGTGACCCCCGGATTGCCCCAAAAATGTTGATGAACTTTGACCTAATTACTGGGGGGATTTGACCTGTAGTGACCCCAAGTTGAACTCTCTGTGACCCCCGGATTGCCCCAAAAATGTTGATGAACTTTGACCTAATTACTGGGGGGATTTGACCTGTAGTGACCCCAAGTTGAACTCTCTGTGACCCCCGGATTGCCCCAAAAATGTTGATGAACTTTGACCTAATTACTGGGGGGATTTGACCTATAGTGACCCCAAGTTGAACTCTCTGTGACCCCTGGCTTCCCCCAAAATAAGTTGGTGACCTTTGACCTAATTACTGGGGGGGGTTGACCTGTAGTGACCCCCAAGTTGAACTCTCTGAGACCCCTGGCTTTCCCAAGAAATAAGTTGGTGACCTTTCACCTAATTAGGGGTGGGACTTGACCTGTAGTAACCCCAAATCTGATTGGGGTCACAGAGAGATCAGCATGGGGTTCCTATAGACCGAGCCCCCCGAGATGAGGCAAGGTCGGTGCAGTGTTCCTGGGGCTGCTGTTGCTTCCTGCCTGGTTGAAGGGCCGTGTTGGGGCTGTGGGCTGGGAGCGAGGGGCACGGCTGGGGGCAATGGCAGGGAGTGGGTGAGCAGGGTAGGTGCTACGTGGCTGCACTCTCCATGTCCCGGGGAAGCCCGGCATCCCAGCTCCCTGCCCTCCCCGACTCCCTCACGTGTACCCATGTTCAAGGTGCAAAAAAGCCTGATATTCGAAGTGCAAAATAAGCCCTATTTTATGGGGTTCACAGTTCCTCTTTCCTGCCCCCTCCCCCAAACCTCCTTGTTTGCACTTAGGTACTGACCAGAAAACTCCTGTCAGGCTGGGGCTTGAACCCAGCACCTTTGCCACCAAGGGCCATACTCTTTGCACCAGACTACCAGGGAATGCTAACAGTGCCTACTGCCCTGGGCCCCTTGAGGCGCAGCGGCCAGGCCCCCTCCATTGAAAGAGGAAGGCGCCTCCCCACAAAACATTGAGGCCAGGACCTGAACCCAGTACCTCAGCACCCACAGTGGGAGATCCTGCACTGTGCACCAGATGCTGCTAGATTCATGCCTCACTTCTTGGCCCCTTGACTCTTTACCTGTCATACACTGGATCCACTACAAGGGGAGCCCCAGGAAGGCTACAATCCCCTCATGGCCTGGTGGTCAAGGCCCCATCCTTTCAGGCAGGGCCTGTGGGTTTGACTCTGCACAGGGGCAGCACCCTGTGGCCCTGGCTTTTACTCTTGCTTTCCCCAGTGGGGAAAGGGTGGCTGGGCTGTGTGAGGTAGTGTGGGTACTGCGGGGGGGTGGTGCGGGTGCGGGACTCACCCTATGAACACATGCACAAACACTGTGTGTCTGTCTCTGCACACAGACACTTTCTCTCTCTCTCTTTCTCTCCTCCCCTCCCTCATTGCACAGCCATGGGCATGGACACACACAGACACACACCCTTCTGCTCTCAGCCCTGGGATACCTGCACGGCCCCATGTTCCTGCAGTCCAGCAATGCAGCTGGGGGCCATGTGGTGTTGGAGCAGCTGTGTGCAGGGAAGGAGTAAAAGCTGCTGCAGGCAGAGACTTCTGGGTGGGAGGGGCAGAGGTAGGAGGGGTTAGGGTGGAGGTGGGACCTTGCTGCTGAGTTGTCATGGCTTCCCCTGGGTCCTACTGCCCCTGGATCCTATCATCTTTGATAGGCAGCCAGGAGCAGATAAATATTAATTTTCTAAATTTTTTAGGGGCCCCGTGGGCCAGATAGAATGGCCTGGCAGGCCAGATCTGTATCACGGGCCATATTTCACCCACCCCTGACCTAGGCCCAGATGGGCCTATTAGCTTTTTAGCCTCCCTCAAATGGAGAAGCTACAGAAAAGGATGACAATTGATTACTGGGGACAAATAATAAAGAAACAGGGACAGGAGAGCTGGTCAAAGGCACATAACAAGGGTCCTAAGGGGAGGCACTGAGCAGAGCACACTGGACAGCACCCACTGGCCCTCAAATCAGTCCAGGGAGCCAGCGGACACTGCCCTATGATACTCTGACTCTGCTTGGAGACAGGAACTAAGTTGTGCAAGGAAAGTCTCCCCATAGTCTCCAGGGACTCTCTGTGAGACACAGGAGACTGGGCAAGATGGACCTAGGGCAGGAGTGGGCAAAATGCAGCTCGGGGACCGGATGTGGCCTGCCAGGCCATTCTATCTGGTCCACAGGGCCCCTAAAAATTTTAGAAAATTAATATTTATCTGCTCCTGGCTGCCTGTCATGTGGCCCTCGATGGCTTGCCAATACTCTGTAAGTGGCCCCCCGCCCGAAATAATTGCCTGCCCCTGACCTAGGGTCTGACCCAGTCAATGGCAATTCTTGTGTTCTTGCATATGATGTGCTCTGGAATAAGATGTAAGCCTTGTTTTTGACAGGCTGAATGAAGAAAAAAAAAGATTTTGCAGTAACAGAGTGGCAGCAGCATGAGAGGTGCAGAAGCTTAAGTGTCAGGAGCTGCTGTTACTGTATTTCCTTGCTTATTATGCACACCCTAGTTCCTAGCAGCTGGTCTTTGAGAAGGCAGCATGTATAGTATGTAAGAAAATATGATATCTTGCAGGCACAACCTAAAGCTGTACCCCAGCTGCTGCATTATCATTTAACATTACTGGGTTACTCTACCCTCCAACTCTCACGCAGTTCCAGAACAGCTGAGCCATAGGTTCTCCAGCAGCAAGTTCTGGCCTAGATGCCTTTTCAGCGGCCCACTTGCTTATTTTCTCCATTACTTTTTACGGGCTTTACACGTAAAACTGCATGATTGTAGCAACCTTGACAACCTGCATGAGGATTGCATTGCTCTATTGTTTAGGAAAACAGCAAGGATTTTTGAGCAATCACTGAATGGGTACTCTTAGTGAGGAAGGACCTACGTGCATGTTAAAAAAAGAGCAGTATATCTGGATGAAATCAGAAAAATGGCCATTGATTAAAGCAATAATCAGCCATCCCTAGAATCACAATGTGCAATTTGGACCAAAGCAATTAGTGATTTAATATCTTGACTGCTCAAGTTTAGCTATTGTGCTGTTTGTAATCATCTGAGATTGTAGCCAAAAATACACAGCCTTATGCACAACTTCCAGTAAATAACTTGATTTCTTCTACCCAGGTGCGTTTTAGTCCAAATAAAACATACAAGATGACCAGATGATTTACATTTTCCAGCTATAATGTGTGAAGAAGATTCACCAGCTGCATGCAATAAAGTACAAGTACAAGGTTTCCCTGGAGAACTCAGCTTTAAATCTTTGGAAATATTGGCTCTTTTTGAGTGTTTGGTTTCACTCCTCCCTTCCCCCCACTCCAACC